GGGGGGGGGGGGAGAAGAAGGGGGAGAACAGTCAGCCTCCACCTCCAAATGGTTCTTCCCCTCCAGCATTTACAATAGTGTTAAATATAATAAAAAGTGTTTTTAAGTTATAAGGGAAGAGGCTTGCTATGTGAAAAAGGTCATCAATACAAAAGTTAGAGAACCACTATCAGCTGTTCTTTGCTTTATGTTGCTAGAGAATGCAGCTTATTCTCTAAAACCTTCATAAATTCTAAAAAAAATCTGACTGGAAAATTGTATTGACCCCACACATGCTCTGGAAACAGTACCTTAAAAAAATTGTGAAATAATACACACACATCTCAAAGAGTGATAGAGATGCAGCCGTATTAGTCTGGTCTAGCTGAAACAAAAGACAGGACTATGCAACACTTTAAAGACTAATAAACCATCTTGTTAATCTTTAAAGTGCTGCATAGTCCTGTCTTTCGTTACATCTCAAAGAGCACATACAGAAAGCACCAGATATCTGTAGAGCTGGGAGGGAAGAATGGTGATAAGGGCAAGGTAATGCATTGACTGGGAGTTGGAGGTATTTGTTTTTGTATTTGGGGAAGGGGTGGGAACAAGGCAGATGGTGTTTGTACTTTTTCCACTTGGCATGCATATAGTTTTGCCTTATGTGCTTTAAAATTAAACATATCAAAATTTTGTGAAAATAATTGTACAATCACAGGTTATATTGGTACTTGTTTTCCTTTTGTGTAGCTATTCCAGTATATGTGTAATGGCCAAATCCTGTTCTCTCAAATCACTGTGACTTCTTTTATGAGCAAGACTAATGTAATGTGTATTGAGAGAAACTGAAACACAGGTAGGCTGCCCCAGCTCCTTTTACTTTTGTACTTAGGGAACTATCATTTTTGTGTGTTTGCTGTTTGTAAGCCATATCCATTGTACACTGTGTGTATAGTTTTATTTAAATAAATGTAACTTTTATTTTTTGTTTCAGACTTTGTGTTTGTTTCATTTTTCATTTCCATAAAAGTACCAGTGTCTAAGGGCCAGATCCTTTAAGGAGGGCTTTAGTTCCCAGAGGGGCTGAGGATGCTGCATACTTTCCAAGATCAGGCTCAGAGAGCACGTAGCATCCAAGGATGTCCAGAATATAATACAAGCAACACCAATGATGGTGAATTAATGGTTCTTAATCCCTACTTTTTGCCAATTTTAACCCAAGAATAAGATGGGTTTTATATTTGCTAGTAATAACTAATAAAGAGTGGTATCACTGCTGACATATAGGGGAATTTATTCTAGGTGGTAGACAGGAAATGAACTTCCTTTTGCAATACAGAGCCCCCAAAAGTCAAACAGTTGAGTCCCTGTGCTGTAATTGGTATTTCAGATCCATCGGTTCAGTGCTTCCTGTTGAATTGTCAACCCAAGTAAATAAATAAGGTTTGCTTTAGTTAATACTTAGCTTCAGTAATGGAGGAAACAAATTTATGTGATTTGTTTCCACAGTGAAAGGTAAGTCCTCCATGGTTGGCTGAAATCTTATTTTATCCTGTTTTGATTACTGCATAGGATTAAATGGTTGATTTACCTGCTAACAAAAATTGTCTCCCACATTCCTAAAAAGTATGGTTGTTTCATTTTGGAACTAATTTTCTTTATAAATTGACATTTCGTTTCTGTACAATGGAAAATCCAGAGAGAGATTAATTATCTGCAACTTTCTTAACTACCTTTAGAAAGTGCCAGATACTTACACTACTTGTTGTGGTAATATGTTACAAAATAGCTGTTACTGTTAACTCGAAGAATTTTGTACATTACTAATAAACATAAGTATCTTTATTTTATATGTTACCTTGCCACAGCACAGACTTATCATGCTTTTCATGAGAGAGAATGTAACTTATAGAAAGGGGGGATATGATTCATCTTTCTAAAAGGCTGTAATGAGATAGTAAAAAATTAAAGTGTTCTTGCCACGTCTCATTTGTACTTCTATTTATATGCATTCAAAAAGAATTTACAAGTGATGTGAGGTGTTTGAACCAAAAGCTGCCCTGGGTCTGTAATGGAATTCCCACTGATAACGGTTAGAAATGATTTGCATTGACTGAAGACTATATGGACCTGATCCTAGTAAAGTTAGCAGGAGTTTTGCCACTTATTTCAATGGGAAGCTTACTGTCCTGCTCAGATTGTTCACGAGAGCAGCTAGTTCCTTTGACTTCAGAGATACTATTAACATGAATGAAAGGAACATGTTGTAGCTCCTAGTGCACAATACAATTTCTAAATCACCACAATGTGCTCATCTTACACAAGTGAGCAGACCCACTGATTGCTATGTGGGCTCTCTAAATCCTGCTCAAGCCCCTTGCATACACATTCTTCTACAAGAGAATCTTTGACACTTGTAGAGGAAGGGATACAATTTGTCCCTATGGAAATCAGGATAAGAAATGGAATTTAAAGGCTATCCAAG